TAGCGTTAAATTCTGGACTTCAATATTAGTAAATCAGAAACAAAACTACCCAGGGTGCAGATATTTTCTCCTCGATTCACAGTGCTTTTGATTTACAAGCATGTGTATTTCTCAGTTAGTGCGTTGCGGTAGGCGTATATGAGGTCTTAGTTAGGTTACAAAATCAAACCAACTGCATGTTAAACATATTTATCTTTTTTAACACCATGAAAATGAGAGTATGCTATTATTTGCACGAGAGAGAGTTTTCTCTCTCTTGCAATACAAATATTCGTATAAATAAGTGCAGACTTATTTATGAAGGCTAAATACAGCATCCTTCTCTATCTCACCAACTGAGACCAAGTCAGTAATGGTCCATCGTGGTATGAAACATACCACCTAAAATGCAAAGGTTTCTGGAGTATTTATAGACTGACTTCGCAGAACTTTTTTGTTATTTACCAGCATGATGAGCCGACCGTGGCAAAACCGACGTAGGCTTCAAACGAGAAAGAAAAAGAAAAAACACACAGGATTAATTAAAATCAATGTTAAAATAAAAATAAATCATCATACTGAAATGACTTCAGTGAAATGACAAATGACACTCTATGTTGGTGATTATAACCTTATACGAAAGTGAAAAATATTAGCTAAATGAACGCAGGTTAATGTGCATTTGTACATTTCAAAAAGTCTAGAAAAGAACAGAGATAGATCAGTATGATATGTTTACCAGTTGCCAGTAAGTTAATTTTGGACCGTTCGATGCATCCATACTCCACCATGTAGCCGAAGCAACAACAGCATAACCGACATAGGCTAGTAAAAAATAAAGTCAAAATGCATGTTCACAGATATCAGCATTCTACAGAGGTTTCTCTCTCTATGGTAACATAAATTACTAGAAATTTCTTTCGAGTACTATTTTCATCATTTCTCAACTTGCTGAATGTGCCTTCCTCCTCCACTTAGAGAAACTTTAAAAGAGAAATCTAAGAAAGTGGCTACTAGTCAATCCATGCATGCTAAAATAAAAGCTAAAATAAGCTAAAAAGATATATCGTATCATACTGTTCACTATAGATGGTATACACCTTCAATCCACTCTAATCAATATTGAATGTGTAACTTACTTCCAATAGCCATGTATCGAAAGAATAGCCATGGTGTAATGAGCGCTTCTCTTCCATTTCTCGGTGGTCGTTGCATAATATCTATATCGGGTGGATTGAAACCGAGTGCCGTGGCTGGTAAACCATCAGTAACTAAATTAACCCATAACAACTGAACAGGAATCAATGATTCTGGTAAACCCAATGCAGCTGTCAAAAAAATACAAACAACCTAAAACAAAAGTTACATAATTAAAGTATTTCTATCATATCGAAGATAGATTTACATACTTCTCCAATATTTGATGATATTAGATAACGGATAAATTGTTTCATATTATTATAGATCGCCCGTCCTTCTTCAACTGCTGCCACAATTGACGAAAAGTTATCATCAGCCAAAACCATTTCGGCTGCTGATTTCGCCACAGCCGTACCCGAACCCATGGCAATACCAATTTCGGCTTTTTTCAATGCAGGTGCATCATTGACACCGTCGCCCGTCATAGCTGTTATTTCTCCATGTGATTGTAAATATTCGACAATTTTTGATTTGTGAGCGGGATTAACACGAGCAAACATTTTCGCACGACGAACAGCCTCACTTTGTTCTTCAATATTTAAGTCATCAAACTCACGACCACTAAATGCTAGTCCTAAAATCAATAGAATAAATAGTTAAAAACTTTATATAAATGCGTATGTTAGTCTCTTACCAGTTGTATCTTGATCTTCTTTGAATATTCCAATTCTTCTACAAATAGCTTCCGCTGTATTCTTATTATCACCCGTAATCATTATGACTCGAATACCAGCATTACGACAACGCTCAATGGCATCAACAACTTCTGCACGAGGTGGATCTAACATACCAACAACACCAACAAATGTGATATTAGTCTAAACACAAATAAATGCACGCTAATTCTAAAAGTACTAAAAATCTATCAAGATTAATACTTACTTCATAGTTAATAAATTTTTTTGCGTCTTCTAGATCCATCTCCTCTTTTTTCGGTGGTGAATCAATTGTGCCTAACGCTAAACATCTCAAAGTATCTCGACCAGTTCCATATAATTTAACTAATTTCATTATCTCTTGTTTGATTGCCGGAGTCATTGGTAATGTGTTAGTGCCAGCTCGAACATGCGTGCAACGCTCAATAACCGATTCAGGAGCACCCTACAAAAGTGAAAAAAAGCTAATGTACAAGAGCTAACGTTTATACTTCTCACACTTACTTTAACAAACATTTTGGCTCCACTACCAGATTTAGATGTTGGTATTACATAAACAGACATTGATTTTCGATCACGAGAAAATTCGAGTGTAAAGTCTTTGTGATATTTCTGGCGAATAACCATATTTGACGCCATCGCCAATTCTTGTGGAGTTAAAGAAGATTTATCCGTACTGAAAACATTCATTTTTTCGACTAATACAGTTAACGCTGTTTCAGTTGCTTCACCAACTTTCTCATAGATCTTTTTACCCTAAACAAATATCAAATTATCGAGTGTAAGAGTTAAGACATATGATACATGTTTAAGAAAACATAAAGTCGGATAATAACTACACAAATATGCGCAGCCAGTGATCAAGAAAAACACTTACATCATTGTAGTCTAAGGCTGAATCATTACATAATGCTGCGCATTCTGCTAATTCAACGAGTCCACCACGATCAGCACAATTAAACTTCTTCCCATTCAATTGACTAAAAAAAAGTATAAAACGATTAAAATTAGATTACGGAGTTGAAAGATATCTGGGATACATACATATCCCCTCTTGGTTCATAGGTGGATCCGTTTATTTCAAATTGTTCTATTTGGATATCATTGCCTTCTGCTTTATTAAACACAAACATCTAAAATAAGAAAAAGTGAAAAAAAAACGAAGAACATAACGGGGTGACTTATTTTTATACATACTTTGCAAACAGACATTTGATTTGTTGTTAATGTTCCAGTTTTATCTGAGCATATGACCGATGTGCAACCCAATGTTTCAACCGATGGTAAAGAGCGAACGATTGCATTCTTTTTCGCCATACGACGTGTACCTAGAAAGAAAAAGAACAATTTTATGCGATGCTTATTCAACGTCCAACTAAAGAATACCTAATGCTAAGCATGTTGTTATAACAGCTGGTAATCCTTCGGGTATAGCTGCTACAGCTAAAGCTACAGCAATTTTGAAATAATAAATTGCTCCTCTTAACCATGATCCCCCATGAACGGGATCATTAAAATGGCCGATATTGATTGCCCATACAGCTACGCAAATTATTGAGATCACCTGAAAGTAAACGAAAGTATTTTGATCAATTTATATTTGGGAATTCAGATAACAACGTACTTTTGATAACTGTTCACCAAATTCATCTAATTTCTGTTGTAATGGTGTTTTTTCTTCTTCTGATTCCGCCATTTCCGAGCGAATTTTGCCTATATAAATACAATAGTCACACAACATGGATAGTAAAAGAATTAACCAATTACCGATTTCCGTATTCAAACCAGTACCAATAACAATTCCACGACATTTTCCACTAGCAATATTTGTACCCTAGAAGATGAAAACAAAAAGTGAATACCACGCAAATTCTGAATAATAATAGCCTAAATTTTACCGAAAACAAAATATTTCTTTTGTCTTGATTGACTGCTCTTGGATCCAGAATAGGCTCAATGTGTTTAATAACTGATACTGATTCACCCGTTAACAAAGCTTGATCAATTCTCACTGTTGTTGAATGAATTGTTGTTATTCGAATGTCAGCCGGTACTTTATCGCCAACAGCTACTTCAACAATATCACCCGGTACTAATTCTTTTGCTTTAATAATTTGAATATGTCCTGGCCTATTTTGCCTTATAACTTTGGCTACTTCTGGTTCATATTCTTTTAATGCTTCTATGGCACTTTCAGCATTACGCTCCTAGAAATAAAAACAACAGCAACAAAAAGTTAATAAATAAAAATACATCGCAGCCATTCTAAAAACATACCTGCCATACGCCGACAGTTGCATTTGCTATCAAAATAAGAAGAATAACAAGTGGTTCAATAAATGCAGTCAATATGCTCTCTCCTTCTTTATGTTCTTCAAATAAAGCTAATACCTAAAAGTACAACTATACTAATGATTAACTGAATTTTTCAATTTTAACAGAAAAAACAGATTAACATTTAAAACTGAAGTTTAAGAAAAAGCAACGAGGGACATTCCATCTTTCGCTTTCATTAACACCTATATTATGAAAATTTACAAAATATCAAAACAGGAACGAAAAAGACTACAGCTTAAAAGAAACGTACACAGGTGAAGGTACACGCATCTTCATGTTCGTGTGTATCTGACAAGAAATTTGATAAAAAACTGTTCTGCATCAATAAACAACGTATCGTTGATAATAATGATTAGGTTCATCTAATCTGACAGTAAATACAAGGAGAATACGTCTGACAGGTAGAAAATAATCATCTTATGACAAGAAAAATATGAAATGTCCCATAGAGTACCTCGACCTATACTAAGAAAACTGAGTTCTCAAATACTTACAAATGAAATACAGGCAGCTGCCAGTAAAATTTTGACTAGAAGATCATCGAATTGTTCTAAAATTAATTTCCATAACGGTTTTCCTATACGAGAAAAATAATATATAAAATAGGCCGTAGAAAAAAAACAAGATCGTCCATAGTATTCTTACCCACTTCGGCTGGTAATTCTAAAGAGAGAAAACAACAAAATAAGTGTATTAGGTATATCGAAGGGTTTTCACTTACCATTTGGTCCATATCGTTCTAAATCTCTTTTAACTCTTTCTTCTGATAATCCTTTTGTTTCATCAGTGTTATAAAATGCTAAAACATCTTCTTTTGTTTTTGCCCATGGATAATCAATTACAATAAGAGATATACTAGCACGATGAGCCATACTTGGACGATGCATGGTTTAATGTGATCTAGAAATGAATCAATACTTCACTTCTTTTAAACACAAAATAAAAATACGTGATGTGGTACGACTACAATCAGAATAACAATTTTTTTAATTATTTTCTTTATTTTCAAGAGAAAAAGAATGTACGTTTTTTTTTGTTTTTCAAATTTCAAATAGAAACCATTAAAACAGCTAATATATTTTGATAGCAAGACGTCTTTGATTGTTAATAGCAATCTGCGTACGTTGCGCAGCTGAGGAAGAGAAGAAACAAAACTAAGACACGCGTCCGTTCTTCGTTCCCAAAAGGTAAACCATTATGGAACATTAACGTCCTCGCTGTATTGGATATCGCATTAATGCACTTAGAAAAAGTTCGCATTGCGAATCAGAAATAGTAGGAACTTACTCCAAATGATATTTGAAGTTCAGAAAACTGTAGAAAAAGTAAGTCTAACTTTTTAGAAGATGTCGCAATTTGATAGTGTTTTTTTTTCGTAAGAATGATTAATAACACGAAGCATATTTTATTTATCGTACGCATCAGTAAACTGTACGGATTTTATCTCAAGGTAATTGAAAACACGGCAATCAAGAAAAGAATCTCTCCACCGTTACTACTACGTTTTTCATACTATACGTGGATGAATAATGTGTAAAGTTTAACATTAATTATAAATAAATAAACTAATACAGTTTTACTCGTTTTAAGACTGAAAATACTTTCGTCTATATCACACTAAACAAGATCGGATCCTCAATGGAGCAATAGAGCATGGGTCAGATTACGTTGGTGTTAAAAGAATTTTCTGTCATCAGGTATTAGAAAATACCATACCAGTTCATATATGCCTGAAGGACCGAAGATTATATATATGGATGCATTTTTCCTAATTTCTTTACTAACTATGCATTATCCTAGTAAATATACTTAAGATAAGTACGTTGCTTGTTTCGTGAAACTGGTACTTGCCTTTTTTCTGGGGTAAGCAATAATAGTTACGTTTTTTTATATCAGAAATGACAAATAAGAATAAAGCACAGAGAGATGGTGAAAGTAAATTTAGTTAGCAATCCGGATTATAACTCAAACGAATAGAAATTAATAGAAATATAAACAATCCGTCAATAAGAAAATTAACAGCTGTATTTGTCCTATGAGTAGGAGATCATCGAGCAAAGAAGATTTGAAAAACTATATTATTTCGGAGAAATAGTATGCATTTCTGAATGACTAAAACGCGGATATTTAAAAAACTATACTGTTTTATATCTAATATCTAGAACTAACTCTTATCAAAAATTGTTTTTATCAACTGTAAGAAACATATGCCATTTAATTACGGAAAACATCTTGTCTTATTCTCTCCCATGCAGATGAAAAAGTCGTTCGAGGGATGCGGCGAGTACTCGAAAACAGGCCCTCGCCGAGGTCTCAACCCCTCTGAAAATCGTACTTCGGACCCTCAATATAAGCTTCCGCCGGATATCGATTTCGACCCCTCGGATTTTAGATAGGTGCCGAGCCCTCGAGAAAAATTTCGAGCCGTCGAATACAGATGTTCGGGACTTCCGAGCCCTCGTCGCTCTAAGGTGCGACGTTCGGGACTTCCAAGCCCGCGTTTTCTCGAAGGTGCAAGGAGGGTTCGCAAGTCCTCGAAATCCGATGATGGCTCGGAAATACCCGAAGTGCCATTTTCCGAGGACTCGAGCCCTCGGCGAAGGCCCATTGAAAGCATATTTCCGGGTACTCGAAGTACTCCTCGAACAACTGATTGAACTATTACGAATTTCTGCTCAAAAAAGTCTCATAGCCGCATACCGTGTTCTGTTGACCGGCTGAGTAAATTGTTCAAGAGCATTAAGGGTAACACCCCCGTCTTTTTTGTAAAAATTTCGGATTTTGAACTGAGATAGCCTAATGTAGTGGAAAGTGTGGGCAAAATGAGGCCACTTCTAGTACTCCACGACCTCTTTTCAGGATACTATTGCAGAAGTATTTTTTGGAATGTTATTTTAGACTTTTCTTTACCGGGTTATAGGGTTTCTAAAATTGAAAAACTTGGTTTTGAGACGTTTTTCAGTATTTTTTCTGTAACTCGGTAAAGAAAGGTTTCAGAGAAAATTTCAAAATTATACCTCTGTGATATGATCTTGAGTACCTTTCGTAAATTTTTAAACTCGATCGGATGAAATTTCAGGGGAGAAGGTCGTAATGTGGCATAATGAAAAACCGAGTTTTCTGGAAAACTGGTGAACCGCAATAGTTAAAAATTTGAAACAAAAATGAAAAAGTACTTCATTGAGTTTCTAATCAGTTCTGAAAATATGAAGCCTTAGCGAGTTTTAGTTTTTATTTCACAGCATTTCTACGGAAAAGCCAAAATGGGGGGAGGGGTACTCTTAAACATTAAAGGTAGTCGGGAACTATCTTTAATATGACAAATTGTCTTTGAATATTTACTTTAAGCTGAAGGATGTTCAGTTTCATCACATTTTGGGGGTGCATATTCCCGATCCTAAACAGAAGTCCGAATGCTGTTCCTGTAGGAGCAATAGGAACATGATGTTTTCCTATTATGCAGACTACGAACTTCAGCTTAAGCTTTTATAATTTACTGCAAAACTTAATTAGCTTGTACGAATCTAATAGCTTTTCTTCATCATTTACCAATAACTGTTTGTTTTTCCAATGCTGCTATCATTAACCTATTCGCATCTACTGAGCCTGTTTTTTGAGTTATAATATATCATAGATTTCTCTCGACTAAATTATCAGTTGGATCTGTTTTTCTCTATTCATTGCATTATAATGTGTTAGACATACACAGCGTGTTAGGGTTTCTATTGCGTTACTACGCAATATAGTTTAAGAAGATATCTTTAATATATGTGTGATAATGCATTACATGGGAAAAAATGGCCAACGGTTAAAATTATGGCATCATAATCCATTGTTGTCCACGACTTTCTCATATTCTATACAGTTACAACGCCATAAAGTCGATCAACACTTTTATATTTGTATACCATTACAATATTTATCTTATTACAAGTTGTTACTAAATTCCTGTCACATTATGACATATTAACTTCAACTGCTGCGTTGCAATTCAATACTGTCCTTCTAACCCATTTGTAATGCTACAAAAATTCCTAATACATTTCAATGATTGTAATGATATAGCATCAATTTGTATCCACTAGATTCTTTTTCTCCTATTTATACCGTTTATTATTACACTAGACGTGCAAGCTATCCAGTCTCAGAAATTCCACTGGAACACGAAGTCTTATATAAAGTGTCAAGTTACTATATATGTGATATATTTGTGGTTATGTTTTCAGATCAAACTTTTCGACAGAAATCGATTGGTCATTTCAGAATATTTTTTCTGATGTGTTCGCTACATGAAAACATCATATATTTCCGTCTTAAAATTGTATAACTAGTTATAACGCGTTAACATTCAATGTATTATAATATGTATCAATTTTTTTTTATTCCGTTGAGATAAGACACAATAATACATTATAATTCATTAGATGTTACGCATTACAAAATTGTAGACTTTATCTAATGAGTTATAACGCTATAAATAACTAATACAGTTTCCATGGAATCATAATTAGATAAAAAAACTCTAATATATTATTCGATGTTAGTTTCTAACGAAGTGTATCGAACTAAAAAACTGATACGCGTTATAATACATTAAAATTTAATGTGTTATAAGGCGTTAGACAGATCGTACTCAGCTAGAACATTATAAAAAATATAACGTATAATAATGCTATAAATAAAGCTATAAAAGTTGTAACGGTATATAAACTTTTATCTAATTATAAGGTTATAACCTTGAGAAAAAATAACTTCTTAACGCATTATGATATGCTTCCATGTTTATCAAACCGGCAAAAAACCGCCAGTTAACCTCGGTGAAACGTCTGGTTAAGTCCCTGGAGATCAAATCTTATATAGTATTCCTACAGCAATCTTATACAATATCTACACGAATTTTATAAAAATCTTATAGAAATCTTACAAAATTTTATATACTCCAGTCGATAGAAATGCATACTGTGGTTATAAGATTCTTATGTAAGAAATTTATAAGATTTCTATAAGATTTTTATAGTCAAAAGCAAAAAAAAAAAAAAACTTTTTTTTCTTGCTTGGAGGACGAGGGCAAAGTCTTGAACTTTGAAATTTTTAAATATTTTTTATAAGGCACTATAACATTATAAGTATCTTATAAAAAAATTATAAGCTAAAATCTTACCAAAATCTTATTCAATTCTTATATTGCGAATGATAAGAATCTTATAACTACAGTATGCATTCTATCGACTGTAGCATATAAGATTTTCATAGGATTCCTATAAGATTCTTATCTGATTTCCGTACTTTCGGTCGACTAGGGGTGTGCGCTTTACCGTCCGATTAACCGCGAACCAGCACAAAATGACAAAACATTTTTTTCATTTTTCTTTTGAGTGTTGAACTTTCACGTGTTCCATGGCAATAAAACTGTCGGTTAGTCACAGTCCCATACCGGTGAAATTTTGAACCTATCTGCTTGCCAAGACTCTTAGACGCAGTCTGAAAGATGTTTAGACTAAGTCGAAGTTCACACTTCAAGAAGTTATGAAAAAAATTCTGAAGTTTTTCGATAAATCATGTCCTTATATACATATAGTGACCACAAAACAAAACGATGATTGAAAAAGAAACGGTTAACCGTCGGTTAAATCGTGATTAATTGACAGTTTGTAGCGAACCGTGGTCAATTGACGGTTATTTGAAGAATCGCAGTTAACCGACGGTTTTCTATAAACATAGACGACATGGGCTTATTGTCTTATAATAAAATAAATTTATAATACTTTAATACCACAATTTCAAAAAAAGCATATGTTACAGTGTTATCACAGTATAAATAGGAAATGTTAGCCGTGTCGCTGCCCTCTCCAATTCTGAGATTATTTTGACGAAAAATAGTTTGTTTTTCTGTGAAAAAAGCCAGGTCTTCCTTAGTTTTCCGAAAAATATTCACTATCAGCGATGAATTTTTGAAGTTATCATGTCGCTTCCGACAAAATCATTGGCTAATATATATATATATATACTCATTCCGCTACATAATTTTGAGCTCTGATGCTCTCTTTCTAATTGGTGTTACTTTTAGATAAAAAATATGTGTGAATTTCAATCATCTTTCTTGCGTTTTCTCAGACAACATCGTAACAGACGTAACTGTCCGTTATGGGAGAAGGTCATCAGCTGATAAACATTCGTTATTTGCGTAAATACTGCATCATTGCATGTAATCAATGGCTCTGATGATTAGTCTAATATCCGCCGAAGTTCATACATAGTTTTTCATGCACTCTCCAAAAAAATTAAAAACGAAAATTTTTTCTCTCCATTTTATATAGAGTATGTCAAACTACTCATGTTCATAAATATATTTGGATAGAACATGTCTTCATTTAAAAATAAAGTTAGTTTTCTTTTTTCAGAGATTGGATTGCTGAAAACCCGCACACGAACCATCTATGAACCCCAAAGAATATCATCATTAGCATGAGTGATTATAGTAATACTATGTCATTTATACAAAAAAAATCTTATTCAGTTTGTAATCTATCCCGGTTAACATGTTCGGTAGTGAGAAATTGACATTGTCAGAAATGCGGCAAAATGTCCATCACTAAAACCACGAGGAAAAGGAGTATTATTAAATAATATGATTCATTAAGGTTCCTGTCACTTCGTTTTTCTGTCATCATTTTTTTCGTTCTATTCGAAAACTTTCCTTTCGAGTCCCGACTCCCATCATTTTTATCAAAAATGTCGATATTGAGAAAAATGCATGATCAAGCAGAGCGATACGTACGCTTTCTATTAAAGTATCTAAAAAAATCTTGTCGAATAAAACTGAAAATTAACCCAATGAGATTGCGAATGAATCATATTATTTAATAATACCCTCTTTTCTTGCCTTTTTCACTGAATATTTAGCCAGCCGTTTTTTTCTAAGAGACTTCTTCTGCAGGTAATAAACCACTGAGCCAACTATGAAGCTTGCTTAAAGGCGCAAGTTCCATAGGAAACGCGGCACATCATTTTTATACTGTTTAGCCCAAAGAGATTTATAATGCCTAGCATTGCCGATAAATACAATGTAATGTCATGGAATAAATAATCTAACTTAATTACTTGCATTCATGCGTTAATGAACGTTAAAAATATTTGTAAAAAATCGACCACGTTTTCGTGCGTTATTTTGTAAAACCTTTTATTTTTTCAAAACAACGTAAAAGAAATTCATCTCACATGAGAAGTGCACATGTCACTACAAATCTTGACAAAAAATCAGCCCGTAACTTTTGTGTATTTAGCCCTTAATTGTATCACAAAATTTCGACATGTATTTCTTGAATGGTAAAAACGGTTTATATCAGAAGAAATAGTTATAAATATTGACAGAGAAGAAGCAGATCTACAAGCTGACTTAAAAAACTCTTTTGATCAAACAACCTCCGATTACTTTCTCGTCGAGAAAGTTTTCAGGGCTAAAAATTTCATTAAAATCTGGAAACATCAACTTCGCGAGGTATAGGTGCCAATTAAAAGACTGCAGTACAAAACTTTGTAAACTATGATTAGTTTCACACAAAATAATGACAATGAGAACATATTAATTATTGTAAAGAAAAAACACTA